AAAAAAAATTCACATCTTTAAATAAAAAAATAAAAATTAATAACTTTATTTAGAAAGTAAGGAAATTAACATTTTCAAATAAAAACAAGTGAAACGTTGGCATCCTTATTTTTACATTTTCTCTTAAAATTTGCCATAACTTTCTAAGACCAAGGAATATGGTCTAGAATTTTCAAATAAGAATTTTAAACTTATCTAGGTTAGTCCCTTAATTTTTAATTCATTGCAATTAAATATGTATTTTCTAACTTGCTCAATTGAGTCTTAAAAGTTTTCAAGCATTTCAGTTTTATCCATTTACTTTTCCAATTCACTTAATCAAAACCAATAATAATAATATAATAACAACAACAACAACAATAATAATAAGAATAATAAACAAGTTAAATTAAACCAATAAATATAAAGTATACAACTATATGCTTGTATAGAGGATTGTAGGAGTACACATGTTTTTTTTCACTCTTAATTGCACCCTCAAACCCAATCTTCGTACAAACCATGTTATAAATTATTTATCCCACCTTATAATTTAAGCGAGTGATTACTCCAATTTTTGTTTGAATCTTTTACACTTAACTTTTCATTTTTGAAAATTTTAAATTAGTCATTGACAATATGTATGCATTATGATGGCACTTTGTTGATATACCTTTGAAGTTTGCAATTAGGTAAAGATTTTAGAAAGGCATATGGGTTGGAATATTAATGTTTTGATTTATCAAAAATATTATGTGCTTATTAAGCAAGGCAATCTAAGCAAAGAAGTTAGCCACGTAGCTGAAAAGGAAGGAAGTAATTAAGAAACTGGACATGAACAGTAAACAACAAGAGGAGCACAGAAAAAAGAAAGGTTAAATTCTAAATTTGGTCCCTCAATTTTCAATTTTCAATTTTGAACAAATTTCATCCATTCACTTTTTTTTTTTTTCGCGCACTTTTACATCCGTCGGACTCCAAAAAATGCAATTTTTTTTTCCCTTCTATTAGTTCCATTAGTTAAGTGCCACGCGGACCGGTAAAGCCAGTTAAATAAGTCCAGTTGGCATTATTTTTTAATGATGTGGCAAACACAAGTAGGACTAGATACTTACATGGAGCAAAAACTATGCCACGTAAACTCACCTACATATTTAAAGGAAAATAAAGGAAAATAATCAAGAACAATCTTATTTTATTATTTTTTAATACAACTTTACGTATCAAACAAATGATTGATTTTTTTATTTATTTATAATACATAATATTAAGTGCATTTACTTATTTATTAAATGATATATAAAAA